TATATATATATATATATATATATATATATATATAATTAAAAATCGAAATGGATTCAGAAAAACATCATGAGCAAAGTTGTTAAAGACTAAATAGGAAAAGTCATACTTTTGGACCTTGTGCTAGCATAGGATAATTAGAAGCTAAACAATTATAAGATGAATCTAAGAAGAAATTCACTGTTTCTTTTAAATAAAATGATGATGTTATTATCGTTGAAAATTGGAAAATATATAATGTTGATGTTAGCAATCCAAATTTTCAAATTTAATCAAACAATAAATCTAATACTGGATGTTGGAATATCTGCACTACTTTTTGATTAAATTATATTATATTTCTAAAATTCTGTTTTTTAGTGAATAATATTATTTTTATAATTGATATCTATTCTTGGATTCAAATTTCTTAAATTTTGATAATCAATTAAGATTTAATGAGAAGTTAATTTAAAATGCAATTATAATCAGATACACTCTATTTTACTATTCAAATTCGATTATAAATTTATTGATATTCAATTATAATCAATTAATTCATAATTTAAATATGAATTAATTTTTTATAATTACTAAGATTAGTCGCAGGAATATTTATATTTATTCATTACATATATACTTTTTAATATTCTAATAAGAAACTATGATGATATATAAATATATATATATATATTAAGATTAATATAAATATTAATACTAATATCTCTAATATTTAATATCTTTTAACCTTTATAAAAAAAACTAATACTGATGTATTAATACTTATTTTTATTTAATAGAAATATAAATCATTAATTTAAATATCTTTTAATCTATTTTACAAATGCAATCTGTAGAACAGTATACAGAACAAATGAAAACTTTGACTCAGCAGTGCATTCAAAACTTCAATCAATTTATGGATGTAACAAAATTCTTTTTTACCATCATAGGAATCATACGATAGAGTTAATGGCTTCATTGACTCCATTTACGATTAAATGTGTTTAAAGCCAGCTTCTTAATAGATCCCAAGTACCAAAGTTGCCAAATTACCTGATGCTCCTCAAGTGAAGATAGATGTGATCATCAATATCACTCCTGAAGAGACCAAATCATTTAGGTAAAATAAGTTTTTAATGAATTTATATAGACGTGTTTAATAGAAGGTGGAAGTATTAAAAGAAGAGCAGGAGGTATTTGAGAGATAGGAGGATCTCTTATAAATTTTAGCCAATTCTAATTAGATTATCATTGATGATGATGACTCATCAATAATATTTAAGAAACTCTTAGATATGCTCAAGAAGGAGTAAATTAAAGACTGTGTGGCATATCTCTAATCACTTAAGAATTAAGATCAAAAGGAGAAGGAGTAAATTAAGAAGATAATTAATATTACGAAGAACATAAAAGATCATGAATTCAATTAGAAAGACTATTCCTCAGAACCATTTGAAGAGATTAAAAAGGATCTGATAAAGAAAATATAAGGTGATAAGAACATGATTGAGTTACTTAGATTTTTAGTTCAAATTACAACTATAGATGATCAATTCATCTTATGTGGATCCAATTCACTTCACTTATTGGTTTTAATGAAGGTAGATCTAACAAACCAATCATTTGAGAATATCAGGATGAAGAATACATCTATAATTGGAGGAAACTTTGTAAGGTGTAATTTTAATGGATCGGAATTTGAGAATGTGGATATCAGTGGAGTCAATTTTAATGGAGCTTAAATGTTCAATTGTATATGGAAGAACATTAAAGTCCATGAATTGAATAAGTTGGATGGTCATACTAATCCTGTCTGGTCAGTATGTTTCTCTCCTGATGGAAATACATTATCTTCTGGTAGTGGTGATAAGTCTATCCGTCTATGGGATGTCCAAACAGGATAATAAAAAGCCAAATTAGATGGTCATAGTGGAACTGTCATATCAGTCTGTTTCTCTCCTGATGGAAATACATTAGCTTCTGGTAGTGATGATACGTCTATCCGTCTTTGGGATGTCAAAACAGGAAAATAAAAAGACAAATTAGATGGTCATACTCGTTTTGTCTACACAGTCTGTTTTTCTCCTGATGGAAAGACATTAGCTTCTGGTAGTGATGATACGTCTATCCGTCTTTGGGATGTCAAAACAGGATAATAAAAAGCCAAATTAGATGGTCATAGTGGAACTGTCAGATCAGTCTGTTTCTCTCCTGATGGAAATACATTAGCTTCTGGTAGTGATGATACGTCTATCCGTCTTTGGGATGTCAAAACAGGATAATAAAAAGCCAAATTAGATGGTCATAATTATTAAGTCAACTCAGTCTGTTTCTCTCCTGATGGAAATACATTAGCTTCTGGTAGT